GACAAAGGCGTCGAAGGGCAGCTGCTGCTGTTCGAATCGTTCGGCGGGTTCGGAAAGGGGGTCCGTGAGATCCTCCGGAGAGCGGCGGACGTGCTACAGAACAAGCTGACGCGGGCCCAGTACCTCGATGAGGTGACTTGGACCACCAAGAGCTGGCTGGGGCTGCAGAAGCAGCGCATCTCAGTCGTTCTTCACACGGCCATCGCAGAGCAGGTCGTGAATGAGCTTGCCTGTGGCGGGGGTGGGCGGGTGCACGGAGCTAAGTGCCTCGCCACCCTCGCAGGAGTCGCTTAGGCGGCTCCCGTGGTGTACCTGTGTTAGTGCCAGTGCGAGCCAGTCCCGTGCCCAGTCCTGTGCCCAGTGTTGTGCGAGGGAGTTTTGTTGTAAAATTCTTTTCTTCGCGATGTCCACCCCGCCGCGCCGCCGCTCTCGCCGCCTCGCCGCCTCCGCCGCCGCTCCCTCGCAATACGCGCCGCCCACCCGCCTCCTCGACCTCCCCACGGACCTCCTCCTGCGCACCCTCTCTCGCTGCCACAGTCCCCTCGACATCGCTCGCGTCGCGGCCGTCTCGCTGCTCTTCCACGCCTCGCTCGCAGTAGAGGGCATCCGCTTGTGGGCGCGTGAGCGCGGCTTCGAGCTGCCGGCGCAGCCCGAGGTCCAGGGCTGTGCCGTGCGGTGTCTGTGCTATTCTGCGTTGCTGCGCGAGTCCAACCCGCCGGTGAGGGCGGCGGCAGGTGAACGGCACAGCGTCTTCATCGACGGTGAGGGGCGGCTGTCGTCGTGCGGCGCGGCTGATAGCTGGGGAAAAGGCCTCCTTGGCCACGGCGAGGGCGTGACGCGGCTCAACACGCCGACGCGCCTCCCGTCAGTCGAGCGCGCCGTGAGCGTGTTGGCTGGAGCATTCCACAGCCTCGCCCTCACCAGCAGCGGCGCCGTTTGGAGCTGGGGCCAGGGAGGCTTGGGCGCGCTGGGCCATGGCAACGGCCAGGACCAATGCCAACCGACGAAGGTTGATGCCTTGGCTGGGCGGCGCGTCGTCGCTGTGTCGGTTGGACGCGAGCACAGCCTCGCCCTCACCGCCGACGGCGCCGTCTGGAGTTGGGGCTGGGGACGCTTTTGCAGGCTTGGCCACGGCGACCAGCAGCGCCAGCTGCTGCCCAAGAAGGTCGAGGCTTTTGCCGGCCAGCGCGTCGTCGCTGTGTCGGCGGGAGATCACCACAGCCTCGCCACCACCGCCGACGGAGCTGTCTGGAGCTGGGGTCATGGAAGCCGAGGCCGGTTGGGCCACGGCGACCAGCAGCGCCAGCTGCTGCCCAAGAAGGTCGAGGCTTTTGCTGGCCAGCGCGTCGTCGCTGTCTCGGCTGGAAATGAAAGCAGCATCGCCATCACCGGCGACGGCGCTCTCTGGAGCTGGGGCGATGGAGGATACAGCAAGCTGGGCCACGGCGACTCACAGAACCGGTTGCTACCAAAGAAGGTCGAGGCGTTGGCGGCGCAGCGCGTCATCGCAGTCTCGGCTGGAGACCGCCACAGCCTCGCCCTCACCGCTGACGCCTCTGTCTGGAGCTGGGGCGGTGGAGCCTACGGTCGGTTGGGCCACGGTGACTGGCAGAACCGGCTGCTGCCCAAGAAGATCGAGGCCTTCGCTGACCAGCGCGTCGTTGCTGTGTCGGCTGGACGCAGCCACAGCCTCGCCACCACCGCCGACGGAGCCGTCTTCACCTGGGGCGAGGGCCGCCACGGCTGCCTAGGCCACGGAGAAGACCTGTCGAACCAGCTGCTGCCCAAGAAGATCGAGGCGTGGGCGCCGGGGCAGTGATGAGAAGGGTGAAGGGTGCAAGGTTTTTGAGGGTTGAGCTGGCTCCGGCTCAGGTCGTGGGGCATAGCTCGGGTGTAAACGGGGTCTGGGGAGGAAGCCCCAGCGGCCCGCCGCAGGCGCCGCCGGAGGCTGGCCCGCCGCAGGCGCCGATTTTTTGGCGTTTTTTCTCAAAATTGAGGGATTTCTCATCTAAATTCTCATCCAAAATCGAGCTCGCTACGAGCTCTCTAACTGCACAGCATCTCCTCGTTGAGCCTAGCGGCGCCCGTATCGCCCACGCCCACATTCCTTTTTCTTGCCCTTGGCCCTTGCTGCACTCAGCCGCTCAACCTCCGCCAGTCTCTCCTTGCTCGTTGCTGGCGCTGCCGCCCCCAGTACTGCGATTGCAGCTCCTTGGCATGCCGCGCCGCCTCCATCTGCTGTGCTTCCCACGCTGCCGCTTCCTCTAAAGCAGCGCCGCCACTAAGCGGCGCAACCAAGTTCTCGCACTGTTTGCATGAGCATGTGTCCTGCTGGTGCGGCGCACAATCCGCGCGCGGCGAGTGAGAGTAGAAGACTGACAGCAGGAGCTGCAGGAGCTGCAGGAGCTGCGCAGATCGGATGGGTGGTGACGCCGTCGAGCGACGGCGCAAAGACCAATCACCACCGCTGAGAGCCGCGACACGAGGCTGCTGGCAGCTGCACCTGTGAGAGCCGCGACACGAGGCTGCTGGCAGCTGGCAGAGCGAATCGCGATTCCGGCGGCCGCCGTCAGCCCGCCGACACCGACGGCCTGTCTGAGGTCAAACTCCCACCGCACGTCGGACCAGTCGTGCGTCAGCCATGGCGACGAGACGTCTGTATGCAGACAGCCCGCCACCCGGGCGATAGAACATGCCAGCTGGGCTCTTCCAGGGCTCTCGTGGCCCGTGGCGCGTGCCCAGTGGGCGGGCTGCGGCGGGCGCAATAACTATTCACAGCTAATGAAAACTATAAAAACTCGCGGCTTCATCAAAGTTTGAGGTGGCTTCGTCCTCAGCACCATCAAGACAGCTCTATTCACACCCTGTTTGGTTTGAAGCCACTCGGGGATGCCCGTTTACACCCAACCGACGAGTCGCTGGGCCCTCTGACCTGAGCCGGAGCCGGAGGGCTAGGTGCGATTTCTATTAAGAGTTGACTCACACGCTAGGAACCACTCGGCTCACCCACAGGCCCAATTTCAAGTGGCGGCGCTCCGCGCCTGTGCAGCGGTGCGCTCCGCGCGTGTTCTGCAGCGGCGCGCGCCTCCGCGCGTGTCTCTGGGCGCTACATGCGGCCGTCGCCGTGCCCTTCATCAACCGTGCGCTCGAGAACTGGGGCGGGCTCAACTGGGGGGACCGCTTTCACCACAACGACAGGTCACATGCACAGAGGGGCGGCATTGGAGCTTCGCTGCAGCGGGGTGTGGTCATGACGCGGAAGAAGGCAGAGACACAGCGTCTGCCAGACGAGTGCTACGACGTCAGGCCGCAGCTTCGAAGCAGCGTGGCCACAACTGACTGCAACAGACTGTCTTCATGTGTCTAGACTCTACCGGTACCGCGGTGCGCTCCGCGCACATAGGTGCCAGCGCGCTCCGCGCGGTATCTAGCCAGCGCGCTCCGCGCGTGTGTCTAGCTAGCGCGCTCCGCGTGTGTCCAGCTAGCGCGCTCCGCGCGTGTGTCCGGGTAGCACCAGCGCGCTCTGCGCGCACGATAATCCAGTGGCAGTGCCTACACTTGTACGTTGTAGGCACTGAAAGCTTGTTTCTGCAGCTTGGCTTGACTTGTTGCATGTTGGACGTCTCGCGACTCGCCGCCGAGACGGATCAGACGTAGGGTAGCCGGGGTGGGAGTACCGGAGTAGTCACGCACGGGTGGCCCTTCCCAGAGGACAGACACCGTCAATTACCTTTTCCATACACGAGGACAGATGCGCTCTGCACGGGTGAGTCACGTCGGCGTCAAAGGAGCGACGTGTGACCTGTCAGAGCTTGATCTCCGATCTCAGGACTCAGCGGCGTCGAGTCGCCTTCGGCGGCGACAGCTAGGATGCATCTCCTCCGTCGTTTTTCGCGCTACGGCCCTGAGAAGCTGGCGCCGCACGCAGGCGGACCTTGTGTATGCGGCGAACGCTTAAAAAATGGGTGCTCTACGTCACTTTTTTGGAGTAGATCGTGCCGAGCTTTTTTTTCTTTTTTTGGCGGGTTTTGAACCACAGACTTTTTGCAACTAGTCTTTTCCGAACACGAGGACGGAAACGCGGACCAGGCTCAAACGGAGAAGTGAACACGGAAACCGTAAAATATGTCGATGGCCGATGCGCGTCTGTGACCGGCTTGCTCCCCGTCACTGCACTTCAACAGTCTTCACCCCGTCTCACCCCCCGCGGCGCTTTGCGGCGTGCAGCTTCGCGAGCTTCGCGAAGGGGGCGCGGCCGAGCAGGGTGTACGCCGTCGAGAGCTGCTGCGCCGCCTGCGGCGCGAAGCAGACGTCGTGGTTGAAGAGGTCCGCCTGTCGCGAAGGAGGGGGCGGGCTGGAGCGAGGCGCCAACACCGAGTGCGATCTCGGGCGATCTGGGCGCGAGTTTGATCTCGGAGGATGCCGGCGGCGCGATCTCGGCACGATCTCGATCAGCTCTCGGGCGATCTCGCCCCGAGCCGGAGCGAGGCGCCAAAGTCCGACTCGTCGTTTGCGATGTTGGACCAGTTGATGAGGTCGTCGAGCTCGGCCTACGGCCGACGGAGGTGGCCGACCGGTGCCCCGAGACGAGGCCGAGACATGCTGGACCGAGTGGGCGGGTCGAGCTCGGCCTGCACTTCGGGCCGCTCCGCCGGGGGCGCGTGCACGATCCGGCCGAGCAGCTTGCGCAACTCCTACAGCCGAGATGCAGCCGAGATGGCGGCCGAGAGACGGCGTGCTCGCGGGCCGAGCAGCTTGCGCAGCGCCTTGCCGGTCAGGTGCAGCTCCCGGTAGCCCAGCTCCAACTGCAGAGGTGCAGCCGAGAGGGGTGCAGCAGAGGTGGCAGCCGAGAGGGGTGCAGCCGAGAGGGGTGCAGCCGAGAGGGGTGCAGCCGAGAGGGGTGCAGCCGAGGGGTGCAGCCGAGGGGTGCAGCCGAGAGGGGTGCAGCAGAGGTGCAGCAGAGAGGGGTGCAGCCGAGAGGCGTGCAGCCGAGAGGGGTGCAGCCGAGAGGCGTGCAGCCAAGAGGGGTGCAGCCGAGAGGTGGCCGCCGAGAGGTGGCCGCCCAGGGCAGCAGCTCCACCTGCCGGTCGTACGCAAAGACCACGCCCGCCTTGGACGAGGTCTCCCACTTGTGATTATCATTATTATTGTTATTATTAGTATTATTAGCCCACCTTGGACGAGGTCTCCAAATTGTGATGATGATGATGATGATGATGATGATGATGATGATGATGATGATGATTACTGGTATTATTATTATTATTATTAGCCCGCCTTGGACGAGGTCTCCCACTTGTGATTATTATTATTATTATGCCTATGACTCTTCTTCTTATTATTAGCCCGCCTTGGACGAGGTCTCAACCCACTTGTGATTATCATTATTCTTATTCGTATTGTGATTATTATTAGCCCGCCTTGGACGAGGTCTCCACCCACTTGTGATGATGATGATGATGATGATGATGATGATGATGATTATTATTAGCCCGCCTTGGACGAGGTCTCAACCCACTTGTGGCCCGGCAGCCCGCCCGACAAGCCCGCCCGCTTGCGCGCCTTTGCCGCCTTGGTGGCCTCCCCCTCCGCCTCGACCCCCAGGCCTAGAAAAAGAAATCACGGTGCGGCGGATGTGCGTGCGTCCCAGTCTGGACTGGTGGTGCGTGACGGTGATTGCAGATCGGTCGCACCGCGTACGGGATCCAGATCTCCCCAGATCTCCCCAG